TTTACTGAACAGGGAAAGAAGGAATTAGCTAAGTGGAAATCTGGGCTTACTTGGGGTCTCCAAATTTGGTATAGGGGATATCCCTCTGGGGTGATAAGCATTGTACAGGAAATAGAACCTTTAGATACTGGGTCAGTAGGTCCAAATGGAGTGTTAAACCCTCTGGAAAAAGGAACCATACCCCCTACAGGGAGGACTGCACCATTTTATTTGTCGACCTCCGGCTTGTTAGCCTCAGCAGCCAGTAGCTGCCTCAGTGAAGAGATGCCTCTAACTTCAGTGGGGCTGGGAGCAAGAGGCAGAGCTGAAGCCCAAGGTTAAGGGGCTTTCACACAGCCCCTAGAGCCTGGCACTTTGAACTTGGACTTAAAGCCTCCAAACTGTGAGAGAATAAACTTCTGTTTCTTAAGGTCATCCCATTTGTGGTGTATTTTTTGTCAGAGCAGCACTAGGTAACCAAAACACATGGAAATCCATTTCTATTGAGTTGACAGAAGACAGAACTATAATCAGTGGTTAAAAGACACAGGGAGACATATTTTCATGGCTTCATATGAAATAAATTAATTTCTTTATTTGGAAAATGAGAAAATTTGATATTTATTTTCATTAATGACATTTCCAAGCAAAGTCTCCTCTCCCATTTTTGACAACACAATTATAAAAGTGTTATAAAACAAAAATTTTATGTTTTGATTTATTCATGGTTAATAAATGTTAACAAAATATACAAATATTATGATGATAAGTCTATGGAATAAAATGCTATTGTTGACCTTCTTTCCCCCACCAAACCTGAAAAGAGAGTTATTCTCATCATTCTTGGTAATCTCATTCCAAGGAACCAAAGGAAGACTCTCTGAGCTTCTCTGCTAGGGACTGACTCTGAGAAAACTTTATTAACAAGGATGAGTTTATAAAGTCACTAATAGATTCTTGGAGGAAGATTGGGCAATCTACTTCCATAGTGATACTACCTCAGCAACCCAAGGAGGGGTCGCTATGAGTTGGGGCCGACTTGATGGCACATAACAACAACAATAACAACAATAGATACTTAACTACTATTTCATGCTCCTCTTCCAGGTCTTTGACAATCATGAACTTAGTAATTCCTACATTCTTATGTAACTCAATATGCAATAATAATACTATTATCCCCCAATATCCAAAAATTTGTTTCAAAGGGATAATAGCAAGAGTATTGTGAGGAAAATTATCAAATAGATAAGATTTATTTATTCCACGTATTTCTAAATTCAGAACCATTTTAGCTCCCTTTCTGATTGTTATCATAGCAGATGTACAAATACATGCAAACATAAGCTCTTTTGATTCACTGACTAAAAACTCTTTAGCTTTAATAGCAGCAAAAGTCTTTTAGTCCCAGTGTTTCCAAATCCAAGTTCCCTGACAACATAGAAATTACCAAAGGAGCTTGTTTTAATATAGATGTTTACATACAGATTAAACCCAGCCTATTGAATGACAATCTCTTGGAATAGGTTCTGCATGTGCTTTAATATCTTTCAAGAGGATTCCAATGATCAGCCGAACTTGAGGAGCACACATCCAGTCCTCACTTTAAAATGGATGAAAGGTGGAAACAATTAGTCCAAGTGACTGCTATACCATGCAATCCTCAGCCTATATTACTATGAGACCAGAAGAACTAGATGGTGCCCAGATACCACTCTCAACCACTCAGAGGGGGAATCTATGTAGGAGATCTTGGACAGAGAGGGAGAACAATGTGGAACAAAACTCAAAATCATCAAAGAAAAAAAAAAAGGGACCAGTTTTGCTGGTGTAATAGAGCCTGGTGGAACCACTGAGACTATGGCTCCTAGCTACCCTTCAGGTCTGGAATTGAACCCACACCTGTGGCTTCCAGACAAACAAAAGGCAGGCATATGAGGTGAACATTTACACTAGGTAGATACACTCCTTGGAGAGAACAATCATGGGAGAACAGAAGGGCTGTGTATGCACAGGGGCATAGCTCAGGGGGCAGGAGTGCATGGAGGGAAGGACACAAGGAAGAGGTAACTATGGGGAAGACCTGGGAGGGGAGCTGTTGCATTGTGGTAAATTGTAGTCAATGTCATGAGACAAAGTGTACATACACTGACATGAGCTGCTGTATGGAAAGTGAATTTGCTCAGTAAACTTTCACCCAAATCACACACACACACACACACACACACACAACTGATGAAAGGGAGGCCTACAGAGACCCAGTGGTAATACACTCAACCTAGGACAATAACTATCGATATATGTTATACGTGGTCCCAAGGCAAGTGATTCTTGATTATAAATTCTAACTCAGATGTGTTGCTGCTTTTTAATCTTTCCTCTCTTTATTTCTGTGATGACACCAATATTTGTAAGCACTACCTATAGACAGTCTTTAATGTGAGAAATGTTTGTACACACACACACACACACACACATCTTGCAACTACACATAGGAATGAGGGATATAAATACTATACATAATAAGTGCATAATTAGAATTGGGGGAAAAAGAAATAACAGCAGACAAATTATCAGTGATATGTTTTCCAGCAACAGGAAAAAAAAAAAAAAGTACAGGTTGCATCCCGAGGTGAAGGAGAAAGGCATTATTTATCTGGACAAGTTATCAGTTCACCCATGGAACCCATTTGTTTGTTTGACCAGAATCAGTTTCCTTGGAATTCCCAGATGGAAATGTGGTTATGCCTAGAAAGCTATGGAAAAGGACTCACTGTATTCAGTTTAAGTCCTTGGTCTAACATGGAGTAAATAGGCAAATTGATAGAAATTGCATTTACCTTTTTGATAGATCACAGTCATCATATTCCTCAAAGGTGACTTTGTTTTCACTGTTTCTTTAGCTTTCTCTAATAGTCTTTTCACAGGAACAGGGATTACAGCTAGATTCCATGTATAGATTAGAGTCAGTTACTCATCCAAAAGGAATAAAAACAAAAAACAAGCTCTCTGCCCTTGAGTCCATTGTGACTCATAGCAACCCCTCTTGGGGTTTCAGAGGAGGTATCTCTATGGAAGTAGATTGGCCAATATTTCTTCAGAGGAGTGGCTGGTGGGTTTGAACCACCAGCCTTCTGTTTAACAGTCAAATGCCTTAGGTGTTACTCATAGGCTATTATAATTAAACGGTGGTCAGCTTGTCCAATATCCTTGTTGTAAGGGTAAAGAAAAATTGTTTTGCTTTTTTTCCCTAAGACCTCAAAGGATAAGAACCTGTGTTTTTTCTTTTAAGTTTGTGTTTTATCCTTTTTTTTTTTTTTTTTTACATCCTGCACACCTTTCCACTCCCATTCCAAGGTTTCTAGATTTAGTTTATACAAGTATCTCTCTCTTGGGAAGGTTTATATCAGTATAATTTTCCTCAGATCATTGCTAGCTTTTATGTACTCTTTTACCATACAACATATGATATTGAGTTCTTAATATATATCAATCACAGTTCTAATCACTAAACAGATTTTCACTTTAAGAGAAAATTGAAAAAAATTGGAAAGAGAAAACAACATCTGTTTCTCCCAACAACTCTGCAAAGTCAGTGTTATTATCTTCATTGTATTCTTTTGTGACCCTACATAAGTTAAAATCACCCAGCTTAAAGTATTATTACTTCAAACTATTTGCCATTCGTCTTCAAGAAAATCTTCTTACACCACAGTTTTTTCATGGCATTTTTGACTTCTTTGTTTCTTAGTGTATAAATCAGGGGATTTAACATGGGGGCAATAATGGTGTAAAACAAAGCCACCATCTTATCTCCATTAAAGGTAGTATTGGGGCGCATGTATATGAAAGTACAGGGACCAAAAAACATGACGACCACAGCAATGTGGGAGCCACAAGTGGAGAGAGCTTTGCGCCTGCCTTCTGCTGACTGCTTTCTCAGGGACAGTAGGATGAGAGTATAGGAGATTATCAAGGTGATAAAGCCCCCCAGAGCGACGGTCCCACTGTTGGCTGTGTCAACAACACCAGCAGCATATGTGTCTGCACAGGCCAGTTTCAGCATAGGGTGGACATCACAAAAGTAATGATCAATCACATTAGGTCCACAAAACGGGACCTTAAGCATCAAAGATGTCTCAATAACAGAGTGTAAGAACGCACCTAACCAGGCCCCCAGCAACATTTTTTTGCATCTGTCCTGGTCCATGATGGTCATATAATGTAGAGGTTTACAGATGGCCACATACCGATCATAGGCCATTACAACCAGGAGAAAGACCTCCGTGGGACCAAAGAAATGTACTCCAAAGAGCTGCAACATACACCCCATGTAAGAGATAGTTTTAGTCTTGGCTAATAGGTTAAAAATCATCTTGGGAACTGTAGCTGAGGAGTAACAGATGTCCACAAATGACAAATACTTGAGAAAGAAATACATAGGAGACTGGAGAACATTACCCATGCTCACAGTGAGAATGATGAGAAGGTTTCCCAGAAGAATAGCTGAGTAGAAGAAAGAAAACACCACGAGACAAACTTCTTCCAATTTTGGGTTTTGAGAAAGGCCCCTTAAAATGAACACAGTTACATTATTTATTTTTTCCATGGAATTATTCCAGGAGACCAAGTACCCGAGACAATTAAATCATCTGAAAGAATCAAAAAGAATCAACAGTATCATTTTTATTACATATATAAAAAAATGATAAGCACAGCAGTTGAAAATTGAAAATAAATCTTTACTGCTGTTTAGCATTTACTGCTGTTTAGTCAGAGAAATAGAAGACTATGTATTCTGACCATTTTCCTTCATACAACATCCCTTCATTCACTACTGATGATGGAACAAAGTCCACCAAAGTCCACAGAGATCGAACAGATCCCCTAAGTCACCCATCAAACAAAGATTTCCATCTTTCTTGCCATTTTTAAAGATTGGTTTATTTTCTTTTCAACATTTAGTTCTTATTCTGTATAAGCATGAAACCTGACTTTGAAACAACTTCTGTGTCTGGAGTCCCTCGATGGTGCAAACAGTTAACATGCCCATCTGCTAACCAACAATTTGGAGATTTAATTCCACTCAGAAGAACCTTGGAAGAAAGGTCTGGCAGTCTACTTTTAACAGATCAGCTATTAAAAACCATTTTCTAGGAAGAAATATTTGCCTTGAGCATGGTGCCCTTTTAAGACCTATATGATAAAATTGACACCGACAACTCAAAAGATTAGATAGGAATCTTTGGAGGCAATGAGTTTATGTTAATGAGGGAGGAACAATTCAGAAATGATGGTGAGAATTGTTGTACAACTGAAAGAATGTAATCAGTATCACAAAACTGTACATGTAGAAATTGTTGAATTAATGTATGTTTTGCTGTGTATATTCAAAGCAATGACAACAAAATATATAAACTCAAAAGAAGACAAAGCAAAAAAAGTTATATGGAGCACATTTACACTCTGACCCAGAAGGGGTCACCATAAGTTGAAAGCAACTCTAAACAAGCTTGTTATTCTGTGTTTGAAGACACACTTAGTAACTGTCATAGAGTCAATCCGGACTCATAGTGACTCCTCCCTCCTTGGGTTTCTGAGGGGGTATCTCTATGGAAGTAGATTGCCCAACCTTCCTTCTGAGAGTGACTAGTGGGTTTGAACCGCCAGCCTTCTGGTTAGCAGTCAAATGACTTAGGCATTATGACGCATAGTAACATTTGAATATCTGGAGAAGTTCACCCATTTTTTTGACACAGAAAAGAGGACCTAATTCTAAAAAATTCCTTCTGTGACATGCCTGTATACCACATTCACCAATGAGCACAGTAGGACACAATGCATTCTCAGTACATTCTCCTACTTATGAAATTTGGATCTTTATTCTCATGTGTTTATGCTCTCCTACTTGACCTGAAGCTCTTCAGAGTAAGGATTTGGTGTGGTGTAGTAGAAAGAGAAACAGAACCATACCACTCTGACTCTTAATGGTGCTGTTGTTTTTAGGTACCCTAGAGTCCATTTTCAACTCAGAGTTCCCATGTGCTAGGAAAGTTCAAACTGAATGGTGTAACTTTGGGTAAATCTTTTAATGTCATTGGGCTTCTGTTTCTCTATTTGTAAAATGAGACATGCCCAATTTCACAGTCCTATCATTCTCTAGAGGTCTGATAGCATACTGCTTGAGGCATTTGACTGCTAACCAGAAAGTTGGTGGTTCAAGCTCACCAGCCACTCCTCGGAAGGAAGGCTGGACAATCTAGTCCCATAGTGATTCTGCCTCGAAAACCCAAGAAGTGGTTGCTATGAGTCGGCTCTGACTCAAAGGCACATAACAACAACAACATCTATCATGCTAAGAGTTTTTTCTACCATGAATTGAATCATTCTGTCAGAATTCTTAGAATAATCACATAACCCCTGGAACAGAGGCAGAAATAAGAGAAGATAAGGCAATAAAAGAAACCTACTAGGAACAAAACAAGAGCTATTTGATTTGAAAGGAAATGAAGTCTCAGGTATTTTGTCATCTTCAAACTCAGTGTTGGAGGATTTCCCAGGCTTTATTTTGCCTTGGAAATTCAATCATTTGTCTGCTGACGAGGAAGGGTGGGGTTCGGTGGCGGCAGAAACTTGCCCCTTAATCTCACCACTCCTTCATGCATTCCTCAAAACCTTCAGCTTTCATCATAGTTTACGTTAGTTCTCCCAGTAACAGTGAAGAGATGAGGAGTATTATCACTCATACTGAAGAAGTAAATATCTATAGAAAAGGTCATTTCCGAAAGAGCATTCAAATGGTAAAGGAAGAGGATGATATTAAATTTGAATGAATTTGAATGCATCTTAACTGTTGAAATTCCAGGCACTCTAAAGGGTCATTGAAGTGCTAGTATGGGAAGGGATATGTCAGATAGTTTGATCAAAGGAGTTTTTCTGATACTTCTACACATGAATCCACTGATGGAAATGATTCCCCCAATTGCAGGTTAGTGTAGGTTTGCACAGTATCTTAGCTAATCATTAGGAACTTTGTCCACTTTGGTGAGGCCACATCTCCTCAAGATCACTGTCAAGTTTAATGTTATGTCTCTTACTGAACTCTGCTCTGGGCTATTTGTGGAAACATTATACTTGGCATGGCCATTTTTTGGAAACCATGGGGCTGTGCCCTCATGGGTAGGAATTAAAGTTGTTGGTGTAGTTATTATAGGGGTGTCTTCTTATACAATACAAAATAATAGTAATCATTGTCATCATCAGATAATTCAGGTTCAGAGCCTCAGTACCTTCCTCTGGTTTTGGATGTTGGATCCCCTTTGCTTTTCCCTGATTAAATAATAATATTAATTCCTCTTCTCCTTAATAGAGCCTGCTTTGGAGGAGCTCAAGCCTAACAGCTTTTGACCACTGTGAATTATATTATTTGCTTCTTATGCACCAAATTTTGTGCATTTAGGTCTGACCTAAATTGTGCAGCAATTATCCATTCCCCAAGGTCCTCGAGCAGTTCTCCTTTGTCCTTGGATCAGTATCCATCTCAAAGCACACCCCTCTCTCCTTTCAGTGCATTTCAAATATAACCCCTCACTTTCTTTGGAAATATAAAACTCTTGACTGACTATTTCGTTTTCATCTTTGTGCTATTAAATTGCATAGTCATGAATAGACATATTTTGTTATTATCATCACCTTAATCATTTTATTTTGCCCTTACTTCTGAGACAAGTGTCTTACAGGTAAATTAAAGATGCTCAAAATTGAGAAATTTGAATGAATTTTCATTTTTGACAAATTTTCTGTATAGATAAACCAGCTTAGAAGAAAACTAAAATCTCACCAGTATTTTCCAAGACTTGTATTTTCTTTCTTTTCCTACCTCTTCTTGAGACCAGCTAACCAAAATAAAGAAGCTGCCTTGAGAATTGACTTGTGAATAATTAATGACAGAGATCCTCTGACCCCAAAAAGTTGAAGCCTGGTAGAAGGCAATCTTCATTGATTCTGGTTCTGTCTCTCACTTACTGAAATCTGCCTTTTCACAGGATCTTTTATAACAAATGTTTTTTTCTCTACTTCTTATAAGACCTATTTCAAGAGAATGATGCAAAATGTTAATGACCTCTGGGAAAGCCTTTCCCCAAAGTCTTCCTCCATAGTCAGAGCTGTAGCCCTGAGACTAACAATGAGTCCATCAATAAACTTTAATTTCTGATGTCTTTCACTTCTTAAAAACATTAAAAACAAAACAAAACAAAAAACCTCTTTCATTGTTAAATTTAAATCCCAGTCAATTCTCCTTGGCTTTTACATCTTTCAGGGGCAGCCTATATTCAGTGACTCCAGGCCCTTTTTGTTCATTGTCAAAAGCAGAAGCATAGAATCATCAAATCTCTCACTGATTCTCCTCTTCTACCTCCCTCCTCTACTTTAATGAAATCTTGTGATTACATAGATCTCAAATTTATTAGCTAAGGTAATATCCTTATTTTAACATGAGGTGATTAGCAATCTTAATTCCATCCGTAATTTTGATCCTCTCCTTGTCATGCAGAATGTATTCACAGGTTTTGAGAGTTACATAGACTTCTGGGGGATACCTTGGTCTGCTTATCATAGCTAGTTATTTAGGTAGTTGATTAGTAATAAAAGTCAATCTACCTTCTTTTATTTCCACATTGCAAAATACACCTTAAAGTCTGAGAGATGTTTGAAAATATGTTTTGGAAAAAATGCTAGATACTATATGTAAATAAGTGAATATTAAATCTAGCTCTTATAAACAAAGGGCTGGTATATGAACAAGGGAAGACTATTAGATGAGAATAATAAACATATGGATAGAAAAAGACAGCCATACGCACCTGTAGAAAGATAGAAAGTTAATAAAGAGTAAGGACATCATGTTTGGTAAAATGTTGTTGTTATTATGTGGCGTTGAGTCAGAACCAACTCATAGCAACCCCTCCTTGGGTTTCTGAGGTGGTATCACTATGGAAGTAGATTACCCAACCTTCTTTCTGAGGAGTGGCTGGTGAGTTTGAACTGCCAGCCTTCTGGTTAGCAGTCAGGTGCCTTAGGTACTACGCTACCAGAAAAAAGTAGAAGACGAATAAAATGAAAGCCACCTTCCATGAGATGGACTGACACAGAATCCACAATAGGAACCGATAATCATGAGGATGGCACACGGCGGGACATTTCATGCCTTTATTATGTAAGGTTACCGTGAATCAGAATCAAATTGACCCAAAGCAAAAACAACAGCAACATTGTGAATTATAACACGTATAAAATAAAATAACTATCACAAGTGAAACTGCATAAGCCCAAGCAAAAGGATAAAACATTTTCATCACCCTGAAAATCCCCCTGGATTTACTGTGTAGTCACTACTCCCTTATCATCCATAAACTTAAACTTTACCCTGAATTCTAACACAGTCATCTAGTTTTTTTTCTGTTTTTGAACATTACTGAACTGAAGTCCAACGATATGTGTTTGTAATAGCTTTGGTTCCTTAGAAAATAGAGTCTACAACAAAAGTTTGTTTGTTAATACTAATTCAGGGAGTGCAAGCCTGAGGGATCAGTAGTGAGAGGAAGGAGG